TCAGGGAGAGCCTTGGAGGAGCTCTGAAGAAGAAGCAGGAGCAATACTGTTATGAAGAGCTGTGTGTGAGAAAACCACCCAGAAGGTATGGGACTTTAGAAATAAGATAACAACAATAAGAGAACAACACTTGTCTGTGAACTGGGGTCAAATTTTCATCCTCTCCATGGAGGATTCCAAATGTCAGTGTTAGACTTTTGGGTAAATGGGGATGGGACTCTAGTCAAATATAATTGGTCAAAAGTTGCTGCTGCCATAGGTGGGGGGGCAGCCCCTTTCTCATTTTCATATTGATGGCTGTATTTTTTCACATGCAAAGGAAGGATGAGGAGGGGTTTTCTGACTTTTGGTCAAGCTGAGCTATAGGACTTAGGGAAGAATGAAAGACAGAATAGAACCTTGATACTTCAGCATTGCTTCCTCTCCAAAAAAGTCAAAGCACCAGTAAAGGCTGTCTGATCTCTGCCCAGTAGTCTGCTTCTATCAGCATGTTAAAACCACACATCGTTGTCTCCTCAAAGGACCAGACACACACTTCTAGCAAGGCCTGTTACACCTGGGTGAGCAGGATTCACATCTCACACCCCTGCACAGAGGTGTCCGTGCTCTTCTGTGCTTCACTGAGACAGCATTGGGCTGGGAGGCCTCTGCTTCACCCCGCACGTTGTGTTGGTTAGCCTTGCTCTATCCAGGTGCAAGAAAAAATGTCTCAGCTCACACTGGCTCAACCAGCCTCAACAATTCTCTGCAGCAAGCCTGGCAATATTCCACAAATAGTCTGGTTTGTGAAAGCTTGCAAAAGAAAGTTGTGCAAGGATCTCTCCTGTGCATGCAGTAAACAGCCTGTGAAATTAAATGCTGGTAAGTCACAGGGGAAAAACCACCACATTAGGTACATAATGACAGATGCTAAACCATCAATCCTTTCTCAGAAAAGCTGAGTCATTCTGGGGAGTGCTCAGAACTTGGGTCAATGCTAAGCAGGGGTTAAAAGTGCAGAGTGTTAGGAATCATTATGAAACAGAAGAAAACAATGCAAAAGGTACAAAATTAATAAGACAACTCTAATATTGCACACTATTCTAGTCACTCCATGTCAAAGGAAACATTGTGAGATTAAAAAGAGATTAAATGTGTGACAAAAATAATGGTAGGAAGATATAGTAACGAACATAAATTTATGGACAAAATAAAAGATGTGAGTGATGGGATCATAATTTTTTATAAGAAGGGGAGAAAGGGTGGGAAAATGCACTGAGAAACAGCATGGAAGTCGATTTATTATTTTGGGTTTTGGTTTGTATTTTTTTTAAAGGAATGTTATACAACAAATTTAAACATTCCCACAAAATATTTTGAATGCCAAAATCAAAATGTGCTAAAGCAACAATTAGACTAATTATTTGAAAATAAACCCAGCAAGCAGTATCAGAGGCAATAATGTGAGTTCAACCCACAGCCTACGGGAAGCTGAGACAAAACTCTGCTTTGACTTTATCTTGATCCTGTACTCTTCCAACAGGCACCAACTGCACTCCAGTCAGAGGAATAAAGGAGCAGAGTAACTCCTGTTCTGACTCTGTATTGCCTCAACAGAGTGAAAGTAACTGTGGAGGAACTCACAGACCAGATCATATCCAAGGCTTGTATCTTTGGGGTTTTCAGTGCCAGGGTGGGGGAAGCACTGAAAGCTTTATAAAGCATGAAAAAGCTTTGGCTGCAGTCAAATGAAAATAGGTATGGCAACAGGCAAAATTTAGGTAAGAAGCCTCATCATCATGCAAACATCTATCCTTACAACACATGTTTGAAAAAATGAGGAGAAGAGGCAGAGAAGCAAGAATCAAAATCAGGAGGCAGGGAGAGGAGTTGGGAGAGAGCAAATTACATCATTATGTGAGACAAAAGGAAAACAGGGATGAAAGTGTCTTCAGAGGAAGAACAAATGAGAACGAACTGATTCTGTGTCGTTATTTCTTCATTTCTTCATGTCATTTCTTCATCTGATACTGCCTCTGCAAAAAGCCATGGGCTGGATGGAATAATATTAAGGTAACATACAGATCTATGATCTTCCCAGACAATATTGACTGCAAAAGGCAGCCAGGAAGGAAAGAAAGCAAGCATTAGATGAGATTAGGAAGGAAGGCACATAAGGCAAGTAAAAGGTGGGAAGTAAGGGATACTCAGAACAAATATCACCAAAGGGAAGAAAAACTGAGGCAGAAGAGCACCTGGATGTGGAATTGGGATTTGTCACAGTGGGAAAAAGGGTTTAACAATCTTAATTAGTGGAAGTGGTTTTCTGCACAGTATCTTGGGAGGCAAGAGTTAACCATACAAAAATTTAAATCTCTAGGATGTATCAACATCAATTGAAAGAAATTATTCTTCCTCATCTAGAAAGAAAACGGGCCAATTTTAATATCTGACTCCAAAAGTAAAACACCACTACATGCAAAAGGCAAAAAATTTATATGTGTGAAGTCTTAGCCACAGCCATCACCTTAATAACTTACTGTACTTTCTGTACATTTTAAAGCCTTTTGTAGAATTTTAGACAGGATTAGTAAGGAACAGAAACACACAAGCCATTTATTATGTGAAAAGGGCCAATCACAGTGATCATCAAATAGTTAAAAAAATAATTCTTCAAAGTGACATTTTTGAATCCTGATTAGCTGGAAGAGGTCCTAGCTTATGTTACAGAATAGGTGGTTTGGGCATGTAGATTTAAGTAAGGAACAGCATTATCTGTTGTTCTGCCCAGTTCAGCCTCCTTTGCATCATGCATGTCACTCTGAACACTGCAGAGTTGCATTTGATCCAGAAATGGTTTAGTCTGAAGCAAAATGATACCCACTGATACACATGATACACAAATTAATTTAGGCTATGCAAGTTACACCACTATGCCTCAACATCAAATTGAAGCAGACCTTGACTGAAACTCCTTCATTTTCATGGTGTCATTAGGGAAATATGGAACAAAGAGAGCTTTATTCAGGAAAAACCCTTTAGCGTAATGTGAATCTTTCCTGTGCTCAGACAAAACCTGTAAAATATACTTTGAAAGAAAAAAGTAACTTTATAAGGAGCACAACCAAAAAGGAAAGCCATGAAGAACACAAGAACTTCCCTGTACCTGGCAGATAACAAAAACAAAGTTTCTTTTTGCACTAAACATTACTGTATTTATATAAATGCAGTCAGTAAAGCACAGAAGGGATAAAAAAGAGAACAAGATGGATTGGGAGCACTTAACTCTGCACTTAAGAAAATTACAGGGAAAATAACAGATTTCAGTATTTCAGTACCTAGTACTCCTGCATTTAGCTGCACCTCCAACTAAATCTATAATCAGAAAACAGGCTGAAAAGACACACAAGAAAGAGAGCTGCAGAATAACTTGCCAGAGAATATTTTTATATCTCATGAAAACAATGCTTTGCAATAAGTTGTATTTTCAGGCTGAAATAAAAGCTTGTAGAACCACAGAATTGTCCAGGTGAGAAGGAACCTTGTACAGCCTTCTGTGGGAAGGGGAACACAGATGAGACTAGCACCCTGCCTATACCCTCTTGGAAACCTCTAGCAATGTCCCCAGGGAGGCTGTTCCAACAAATGGTCAGTGCTTCTATAAAAATTTTCTTTCTTATCACAAAATGAAAGCTCTCCCAGTGCAACCTGTTCCCATTACCCCTTGCATGTAGCCCCTTGTGCACGGACCCCACTCCTCAAGAATCCCACCCCTCAGATTTCTTCTGATTGCCTCTTATGGTACAAAAAAAGAGAAAATCCTGAACATCCTAGCGCTAAGCAATCTAGGTTACAAAATGGCTAGCTCAATTTTTTTGTTTTAATGAAGATCAATACATAAAAAGGGTTTTTTGTTTGCTTTCCATTTTACACCTATATGAAAAACAGATGCGCACTGAAAACAGTTCCCTTTAAAAGCTAGAAAACTCAACCTCAGGGGGATTAGCCATGTCCCCCTCTATTAAAGAGAAAATGGAAATGGAAAAAAAATGGAAAATGAGAAATAGAAAAAAAGGAACAACCCCACTCTGCAACCCCTGGACTCCACCTGCTTTCTTCGCCCATGGCTGACAACCATGGGAGAGAAGGGATGGAAGAAAACGCAAGGAAGTGATTTTTCACCTGTACTCCACACTGGTCAGGCTACACCTTGAGTGCTGTGTCCAGTTCTGGGCCCCTCAGCTCAGGAAGGACATTGAGGTGCTGGAGTGAGTCCAGACAGACAATGGAGCAATGGAGGTGGTGAAGGGTCTGGCACACAAATCCTGTGAGCAGCAGCTGAGGGAGCTCAGGCAGGCGTTTAGCCTGGAGAAAAGGAAGGGAGCCTCTCCTCTCCAGGGAGACCTCACTGCTCTCTACAGCTCCCCGAAAGGAGGGTATATCTCAAGCGACAGGACAAGAGAACGTAGTCTTAACCTGTGCCAGGAGAGGTCCAGGTTGGACATTAGAATTTCCTCGCCGAAGGAGAGACTAAACACTGGAATGTGCTGCACAGGGAGGTGGTGGAATTACCATCCCCGGAGGTTGGACGTGGCACTTAGTGTCACAGTCTGGTTGACACGGTGGTGTTCGGCCATGGGTTGGATTTGATGATCTCAGGGATTTTTTCCAACCTAACTGATTCTGTGATTCTGTAACTCTGTAATTTTGTAATTCTGTTATCACCGCTCTGCGCTCGCTCGCGCCTCCAGCGCCTCAGGCTGGCGCGCGCCGTTCCCGCCCACCGCCTCACCGGCCCCGCCCACCCCCGCGCGCCCGAGCACGCACAGGGCCGCCGGGGCGCGCGAGCGTGAGCGCGCGGCGGGCGTGGCCAAACGAGGCGGAACGGCCGCTTTCGGAGCCGGTGGGCGTGGCCATATACGTGGCCGCGCGGGCGGGGGCGTGGCCAGACATGGGGGCGCGGCCGACGGGCGCGGCGGGGTCAGGGAGGCGGGGAAGGCGGCCGGGCTGGCGCGGGGACAGGGACACGGTGGGCTTCGACGGGAGCTGTCGCCGCTGCCGCCGGCACCGGGAGGGCGCTGGCCATGGACGCCACCACGCTGGAGCTGGACGCGGTGAAGTTCGCGAAGCTGGCGGTGCAGCGGGACCAGAGCGGGCGCTACCAGGAAGCGGTCTTCTACTACAAGGTACGGCGGGGACGCGCCGGTTCCCTCGGGGCGCCGCCGTCTCCTTCCCCGCGCCGCGGGCCGCGCGATGCTCTTGAGCTGCCGGACGGTTCCCGCTCCCCCCTTGGCCCCCCGAGGGCCGGAGAGGAGTGCTCGGCACCCCCGCGGCCCGGCTCGGCCCTGCAGGCGGAGGGAGACGCGCTGGGTCAGCGCGGCCGCCCCCGCCCTCCCCCGGCGGGTGTGCCCGGGAGCGAGCTCGGCCCGGGGAGGGCGAGGCGGTGCCCGCCGAGACGAGAGCGGAAGGCCGTGCGTGAGCGTCGAAAGTTTGTCAGTGTTCGGAGGAGCCGCGTCCTTCAGGGCGGGTTGCGAAACGCCTTTTGCCTGCGTCCTGCTTTTAGGTGGGAACCAGCGCTGCCCGGGCCTGATGTTTACCGACAGGCTATGGGGAAGCACTGCAGGTACTCGGGTTAAAAACCGGGAACGGGCGCTTCTTCCAGCTGCTGGAGACACAGCCCCTTCAGTGCTGCTGGGAGGATTCATCGTAACCTAAAAACGTCTCTGCCCCGCTGGTTTTACGCGTTCATTCCTGGCCTCTCCCCCAGGCCCTGCCAGGCCAGAAAGACTGATCAGTTTTATGCTGGGCATTTTGGAGAACCCCAAGTGGGCATGCTGCTGCTCCTGGGTGTGCAGCTGGAAGCAACTCTCTTGTACAGTCACCAAATAGAGAGGTGTGTGGTGAAATACAAGCTGCTCAGCAGTAACACAGCTTCAGATCACAAGCTATCAGTGACAGGTTTGTACCTTCGTGTGAATACTCTTTCCGTTAGGGACCAGATTTTATTGTTTCCGTAGAGTGTCAGGTTGGTGTAGCTAAGGGTATAATGATGTTGATTCAGTGTCTTACTCAATATCTGTAGGTTTACAACTAGTATTTAGTCGGTTTTGTGCAACCATTAGACATTTTTCACCTATGCAAATTGTTCTTTTATGTGTCGTAAAGTTACATTAAAGTTCCATATCGCATTGATCTCTCACCTGCGAAAAGCCTCTTTGAAGCCTCTGTTTATCCTTATCACAGTAATCATTCCACAGATTCTGTTATCCTGACAAAGTGATTCTCTTCCAATAATTTGTTAAGGGATCTGTTGCTGGCCTTTTATTTCATGAGCACAAGGTGTCTGTGAAATGTTCAAAAAGCATAGTGTTAATATCTTGGTGGCCTATTCATGTAAGTGTGAAAGAATAGGAAGAAGAGTCTGTTTTTCTTTTTTTTTTAACCCAGTTGTTAATTTTTAGAGGGCTAAATTTATATATGTATACTTTATAAATGCAAAAATTTTAGTTGCTCGTAATAACGCCTATAAGCTCTGTGTTCATCAGGAGCAGCGTGTGTGCATGGTCTGATAACCATGTGCAGTACTGCTTTAGCACCGTATATCTCTCCTTTTATCTGGCAGAAATTAGTCAGTGCTATTCAGAATGAAAGTATCTTTTTGTGCAAATAGTCACCCCTGTATGCTTTTGAACATACATCTGTGTGGAAAATCTTTTTCACATGCTGTGTACAGGTGATATTCTTGCTAAGTGGAAAAATGCACCCCTGGCAGTCTTGGTGCACTTGAAGCTAGACAAGACAAGAGGGTAACCTAGATATGTTTAGCTTTCCAGATTTTGCCTGAAGAATCACTTCCATGTTAGATTATACAAAATAATTACAAAATGCCATTTATTATTTCAGGGATACGATACTTTATTTATTTATTTATTTATTTATTTATTTGTTCCAGCACAGTAGAAGTAAGCTCTGGCCTGTCACCAGCTTTCTTATGAACTGCTCTAAGAAGTTCAGAGCCCACTGGTGCAATTACTAAGCATGTGGGAAAGCTTGGGTACTGAACTGGCTTCTGCAGGAACTCGACCCTAAGGATGAAATATGGAAAATGTCACAGTTGGTGCCATAGACAACACCAAGATGTGTGAATGGGGTTCCTATGGTTAGCAAGTGTGCTTGGCTTCCTGTTCCATGTGACTTTGATAGGTGCCATGGGGGGTGCTGCATGTGAGCCAGCTTTGGGCAGCTTGCTAATTAATGGTGCTCTGCAGAAATGTCAGGATCATATTTGGACACCGATGACTTCAGCCAAAACTGCTGAAGGCTGTTGCTAAGTCTGGCTGTTGACCAGCTGTGAGCAGCTTGCAGACTGATGAGCTGTAGTTAGCTTAGTGTGGCTGTGGCACACTGCTCGTGACAAACAGGAGTGACATTGGAGAGATCATAAATGCTAAGTCTGAATTGCACATCCATCTGGTCACTGGAAACAGCTGGCATGCTGGCTCCACAAGCACTCTGTCAACTGCTTCAGTCCTATGCAGATTTGCTTTATAAAAGACTTGTTTCCATTATGTTTACATCTTAAAACCAGGCCAAAAAAAATTGTGCTTGAAATCACAGAAGAAACATCAATTATACACTGGTTTTGTAGCACTGGTTTGGAAATCCACATTTGTGCTTTGCATCATTTGTAGACCACATACCTGTGTGATACAGCACCTGTTTTGTCAGTCTGTACTTGCAGTATGTCACAGACAAATATACCCATCCCTTGAGCACATAGCTCTTTTGTAGTGCACTTTTTTCTCCTGCAAAAAATAGTTGTGTGCTAGACCTTAATGGTATTTAATTGCTACATAGAAATGGTACTTCTGCTTACCCTTCAGTGTCTGTGGATGTTTTGTGTGATGTAGTATGGAGATGGATGCTGGCAGGGAGCATGCACTTGGTTCTGTGATGTTTCTCAGTGAAAATTTATCCTGTTAACAAATACAGGCTGTGTCAGGATCAGTTTTAATTTTGGGCAAACGAAACAGATGGATATGGGAGCAAACTGCTAAGCTTGACCAAAATATTGGCCATAAAACACACAAGGGAGCCCTGGCCATGGGTCTGTGCAGGGCAGCCTCTCTGAGCACCATCCCTGTGAAGCAGCTCTCCAGTTACTCTTGTGCTTTCTGCCGCCTTCTCCAGTTACTCTTGTGCTTTCTGCCTTCCCAGCCTGCCTGCTACCCCACCACCTCCTCTGCTCTGCTGCTGCTGGGAGGGCAAGAACTGCCACAAAACTGGGGGGTTTTCCATGTCCATAGTGGGAACAAAACAAGGTTTCTGTCCTCATTTCTGTGGGGTGACAAATGTCGATTCTCCATGTGGTTTAGAGATTGTGTCAGCTCTGCCTCTTTATTGCAATCCTGCCAAAACTTAGGTGTTTTTAATGAATTCAATGAAAGGATAGACAGCTTATGCAACTGAAGGCGTTTTTTCTTAATAGATTTGTACAGGATGGAAAAAGCCTTAATGTGGGTAATGTACTGTGCTTCTGAGCCAGAGGCCTGTGCTCCTTCCTGGAAGCAGACTTTCACCCAGTATTTTGTGTATATACATTAAAAAAAACAAGTTGGAGAAGCTAGGAAGCCTCACATTTGTAGATGTTCCAGATTCGATAGTTTTATCTCAGTAATAATAATTTTTAAAAATGCTTTCTAAACAAAAATTCTTAGCATTTGATTTTTAAAAGCTTATATAATTGTTTACTTTTGTTATTACCAGATTAAATGCAAATAACTGAAATAGCTACGTTTTTCTCTTAACCTTCAATCCTCAACTTTGAAACCAAACTGATTTCAGTGCATGCATGAAGAGTTTTACTTAAAATCTCCTAATTTCATACATTACAAACAGGCCTAAGATCTGATCTTACAGAAATTCTGAATGTTTTTATAGTCTTACAGGTTATCCCAGATGTGAGAAATTAAACATGATCTAGTTTATAACTTGAAACTTTTTCTTTGGAGTAGAATTTCCCTGCAGCCACTGAGTCTTTTTGCAGATTTAAGGGCTTGATTTCATGCAACTCATGGCTGCTGTGGGCCCTCTGTTTATGGTAAGTAATTTTCTAGGCAGCAAACATTAACTTTGTCTCCAATTCTTCTCCCTGCAGGAAGCTGCACAAGCCTTGATTTATGCTGGGATGGCTGGGTCCAACTTGGAAAATATTCAAGAAAAAATAAATGAGTACTTGGAGAGAGTTCAAGCTCTCCATTCAGCAGGTGGGTAAGGAGCTTTCTAATTAAACCTCTGCTTAAATTAATTGAGTGGAAAGTTGTTTGCTGCTGTGAAATACATTATCAATGGTGTTTGCTCTGTTTTTATTATTCTGATTTTCTTGTCCTTTGTGAAGAATCACAAATACAATGAGCGCATCAGTGCTTTGAATTCTGATGGACCATAAATTAAGTGGAGCATGACTTTCTAAGGACTTGGGTGTGGGTGTTCTTTGCTTTTAAATATTCTAAGGAATCACATCTGCAGAGCAAATGTGAGAAAGGTCATTAGTAAAGGTATTAAGTGAGATGGACACTGAAGTATATTATTGTAGGTGATGTATTTTCACAAATGATGCAATATTTCACATAATTAAACATCCTTGTTCTCCGTGTAGTATGAAAGAGATTTTACTTACATTATTTCAAATCTGAAATATCCTGAGAGCTAACCTCTGCTTCAGGAATTGTGATGGTGTTTCCTTGCCCTTGCATAGATGTTTTTAGCAAAGTTTAGATTTTGTTACCAGACAAGAAATAGACATTCCTCATCTGATTAGAGCTGCTAGTGTTTTGGTGACATATTCAGGATGTTTTTACATGTCTGCTGCTATAGAAGGCTAAAGACTGGTTTTTTCTTTAGTTCAATCACAGAAGACAGACCCTCTGAAGTCAAAACAACAGTTGGATTTGGAGCGTGCTCACTTCCTAGTTACTCAGGCTTTTGATGAAGATGATAAAGGCAATGCAGAAGAAGCTATAGAGTTGTACACAGAAGCAGTGGAACTCTGTTTGAAAACAGTATGTTAAGCTACAGGTTAACTTGGTGGAATTATGTGATGGTAAGAAATTCTTCCACTCTCACAAATGACTGACCCTTAAAGGCTGGCTTGAAAATGAAGTACCTGTATTTGTAAAAACTACCTTTTAAATTTTTTTTGTTTGTTTCACTGTTTTTGGTTTTTTTTTTTTTTAGTGTTTCTTACAGTCTTTTTTATGTTCTATACAACACTGTAAATTTATGGGGACTTGTCATTTATGTGGATTTTTTTTCTGAACTGGATTACACTAAAAGCTAGAAATATTCTGGAATATTTTTGGTGTTGATTTTTGCCCTGGAGCAAATACCACAAAAACAGAAATTAAAAACTGTTAAAAATGAAGATGACTTGCCAATGTGTCAGCTGTATTAATTTCTGACTACATTAAAGGAAGTCATTTAAGGGAAATTTGTGTGTGTACCAGTTTCTGAAGATGTAACAGTCTACTGATGCCAAAACTATTAAAAATACTACTTGATTACTCAAGTGTTTAACACTAAAGCTGTTATGAGTGAATTCAATTCACACTGTAATTAATAAGGATGAATTGGCCATTACATAAACAATGAAGAATATAACTACAGGTACTGCTTTTCTCCCTTAAGTCCAGTTGCCTTAACTAACTCATTACAAGAAGAGCTCACCATCATAATGTAACTCCACCAAGTCTGTTTTTCTTTTTCTCCTCTTTTCAATGTTATAATGTAAATATATTTGTGGGTTGGTGAGGGTGTTGTGTTACTGTTGCTGCATGCTTGAGTAAATCCTTTCCTCTGAATTATGTTGACCGGTTTTACCTGGGCTAAAACCCCTGGTGGTACAGTGTAACCAGATCAAAAGTTAGTAGAGCTGCTCTAGTTTTTCCACTTGAGCTGTTGGAGCAGAATATTTTCAGTCTATTACATAACATTTACTGCAGCAGCATGCTCCTTTTCCTCTGCTGTGTTCCTCCTTCTGTTGTGTCAGTGCATGCAAATATTACTGAAGTTAGTCTGAAAATATGTCATATTAACAGCTGCATTTATGGGGTATTTCATTAGGTACAAGATACTGCTGAAGTTTCTTTTAATCTTGACTAGCATATTCTTTTGTTGACATGACAGTAAGATTTGTCCCTTGGGGTGACCCAAAAGTACTTTCTTCTTCACAGGATGAAAGGAGATTTAAGGGACTCTGCTATCTTGAAGCTTTACTCCCATCTTTCTCTGCAGTATATTCAGGGGCAGAGATTTGTTTCTTCCTTACCCTTGAAGAACTCAGAGAGCAGCCATTACTCCTCTTCTGTGTCTGATTCCCAGATGAGTGTGCTGGTGTTCCATCTCCATTTCTTACCTTCATAAATCTTTTAGACTATTTTCCAACCAGGAGCCTCAGAGTGTTATTTCTTTGCAAATGAAATTAGTTGCTTACAGAGGGTGTTTCTAGTTTCGTTCCTTGGGGTGAGAGTAGATTGCTTTTTGTATCCTCAGTTGGCATCCCTGACCTGGAATAATTGGTCAAGGCACAAAGCTGGAACCTGAAACCTGCTTTTGGGTGCCACAGGAGAGGCCACACCTCTTGTTGTGCCTCCTGCAGATTGTTTGGCTGCAGAAGCCATGCTTCATCTGTAAGGGAGACAAAAGTATAAACTGTCAAAAATGACCTCCCAAATTGGAACTGATGTTAACACTGTTCACATCTTTGTCACTCTGTCCTAGGTTATTTAATGCTTTTGATTGCAAGTTTAAAATGTTGTTCTTGCACCACTATGTTGTTCATTTGAAAACACTTATCTTATGAAAGTAAACATTTAAAATCTTTTTCCTAAGTTACTATGATCATTTTAACACATTTGGGGAAAAGAATCAAAATGCATCCAAGCTCACATACTTGCATATACTGCAACATTTTGTTATGTCTTCTTTATGCCAAAAGTGTTTGAATAGAGTTAATTCTTTTGGAAATTCTCTTTGTGTGTGGATTGTTTTTCATGCTGAAGAATTTTAGACATAACTTCCATTCTATCAAAATTTCACTAGAACAGCAAAATGGTATTTGCTTACGTAGTATTTTTTTATGCTGAGTTTAAAAAAAAGAAACAACAATAAACAAAGCAAAATATTTGCTCATTCCAAAAAGAGAATTGGAATAAATAACTAGTTACTCTTTGCTGTAATCTAGAAGTATGACAACTGAGCTAATGAAACATGTTGGTGATTTTTGGATGTGTAGATTTTTCTTTAATTTTGCACTTTAGGCTACTGAAACCTCAGAAGCAGGCCTCCAGTCCAAACTGAAACAGCTGGCTCGACAAGCACTGGATAGGTAAGTACTGCTAATGTTAGTAAACATACTAATGTTAGTAAAACATACTTCGTGTCAGGTCTGAGTGCACCCTCTGAGTTGGGTTCTCAGTCTAACCTGTCTGTGTGGATTCTGTGTAGACTGAGCTCCTGCAGAGTTCACCTTGGAGCCAGTTGCCAGCTGCTTCACTGCTGAATGTGGCAGCTGTTGTGCCAACCCTCTGGGAATCTTGGGACATGCAGAGATAGGAGAGGACTGTGTGCTTGTTAGAACAAATGCAGGCCTTCAGAGATATAATCCAGTGTACTATAATTATTGGCCTCTATAAAAGATGCTGAATTCAGGCTAGCATGAAGTCAAAGTGTCAGTGTCCCTCCATAAGGAAGACAGCTTGGAAACTGGGAAACTTTTTTTTTTTTTTACAATAGCAATCTAATTACATAGGGTGTGTGTATTGAGATCTCTGAAACAATTTACACAAGTATAAGGTCAATGTACACCTTTTAAAATCAGCTCTATGATGGTGAATCCCAGGCTGTGTTGGGCTAAGTTTCAGTATAAACTGGGTTTTAGCATTTCTCAGTCTGTGTTAAGAAAAAATCCCAATACTTTGCATGTGTGTGACTATACAGAAACTTAATACAGCAGTAACAAAATTAACAAAATATGTCTCCTGCATACACAGTGTTCAAGCAGTTGAAAGCCTGGGTTGTGAGAATGCCCATGGGTTTTACTACTATTGTACCTGCTAGACAAAATAAATCTGGAAGGTTTGAGAGGATGCAGATCAATTTCTTCTCTGTGTTTCAGTGATCTTGTTCTGAGATTCCACATAATGAACACTTACAGAAATTCTCCTATTAGCATAATTTAGAGGCAATAATAATCTAATGAGTTCTGTCAAAAGTAGCTTGTAAGAGTTGGAAATGCTGTACTTTAATTGATTCAAAAACAGAACAATAAAGAAGTACCAACATCAGAAATCAATTTGAGTTATTTTTAAGAAAAAGTAGTGTTGGTCAACTGGGGCATTTTCTCATTCCATTTAACATATGTGGGAACATGAACAAAGAAAATCAATAATTGAACTGTAATTATATTTTTTTATCACTGTTGTAAAGCAAATACATTCTTTATTTGCTTTAGAGCAGAAGCACTGAAGGAATCTATGTCAAAGTCATCTCAGAAAGAAAAGTCAACTGCAGCCAAACCAAATCAGCCAGTCAGAACATTCTTTCCACTGGGACCTGATTTTTCTTTAAATGATAAACCACAGACAATCAGAGCAGTACAAGCTAGTGAATCTCAAGGTCAGAGATACACTGCAGAGGAGATTGAAGTACTCAGGTAAGTCTAAGATTTTCCAAAATGAGTTCATGGAAGGTCTGACTCTGAGAAGTCAAAGTGCAAAGTTGTTTTTATAGATTGTACAGCTGCTACTTCACTGGAAATAAAAGGAGCATAATATTTTATATTACTCTGCCTTCTATTCCATCCAGATCCTTTTACTTTTGATTTTTATTAAAGGTGAAATAAGCTACAAATAATTTATAAAACCATTAACTTAATTTGTGACTTTTGAAAACTATCAAATATATAATGTTCAAGAGGTAGTGATCTTGTTTTCAGAAGCACTGTGTATTACTAGTTTTTAAAAACTTATTTCGTTGTTACCTTCTGCAAGTTAATCTTCAGAAGATGATTGATAAGTTTGTAGCTCTTCTTTTTTGTTGTTTTTCTTCTGACTTGCAGGAAGACTTCAAAGATTAATGGCATTGAATATGTACCTTTCATGAGTGTTGATCTGAGGGAACGTTTTGCCTTCCCTATGCCTTTTTCGTAAGTATGCTTCAGTTACTGAAGTTCAGTTTTGTTTTTATTTTCAAAGCTTCCATATTTAGTATTTCTGTATTTTATTCTTCAGTGTTTAAAATCATTTACATGGGCTTTTAAGCATGATTCAGGCAGAGATATTTAAATACTACCACTTCCATCTTTCACTTTGAACTTAAAACTTTACTGTAAGCTGATCCTGCTCTGTAGTACTTTTGCACTTGTGTCTTCAAGCCTATAAGGATAATATTATATTTGGCTTTTTGGATTATTGGGTTGGGCTGGCAGCTTGAGTCTGTTTTCTGATGCTGGTCCATGCTAATGAGTTTAGCTCTGTTGCCTGTAAAATGCAGGTCATAGCTGTTTCTTCTGTAAAGGGATATTCCAAGGAAGAGTGTGATATATAACAGCTAGATTTTCATTCATAAGCAATAATAATATGTTAAGATTACACAGCCATAATAGACAAAGACATTTGTCTGTTATGATCTTTTTTTAACATTTTTCCTTTTTCCCCCTTAAAAATCACAAACTTCAAAGCAGTGTTCCTTGAAATTGTTTTACAGCTTTGTACTCGTTTTGTGCATATTTTGCACCATCTATCTGACATATTTAAGACTGCACATACCATAAAAAGCTCTTCCAAACTGCTATTGATTTATTTCTACTTTTTTCCTCTCTTAAATCTAGTGATAAGTGTGGGAAGCTACCCTTATCCCCCAAACAGAAAGCAATGTTTGCCAAGTGGGTGAGACCGGATGACATAACAAATAACCCTACGATGATCTACACCGTATCAAGTTTCAGCATAAAGCAGGTAAATTGTTCCTTTATGAAAAATGTGTGCTGCTAGTGGTTTATCATGGGAGACCTTGTTGTTCAAAAAGGAATCCCCAAATATGAGAGTGCTTTCCTTGGCCCTTATGAGGTTAAGTAAATGGAAAAAATTTTGCTTGTAGGGGCCTCATGTTGAACAAGCATACATTTTCTGCCTTTTTAATAGGCTTTGCTTCTTTTGGTTTAAATCCTTCCCTTTTGAAGAGAATTACTAACTGACTGTCTTCCTTCCCTCCACATACTACATTCATCTCTCAGTAGATGAATTATGACTAAATGTCCTCACTGGCTTTCTTCTCTTTGCAGACAATAGTGTCAGATTGTTCTTTTGTGGCATCACTAGCTATCAGTGCAGCGTATGAAAGAAGATACAACAAAAAATTGATCACGAGGTAAGTAGCTGTTGCTCTGCAAGATCTTTTCAGATTTAACAGTGCCCAGCTTTTGCAATATGTTCTGTGGCAGCTGTACACAGTCAAAACCAGCATTTGTTTCACCTTCATCCCCCCTGGACCTGTGTTTTCAGCACTTCTAAGCTGGAAGCCAACTTTATATTGAAACAAAGGGTTTTAAGTTTAAAAGCAAAAAGCTGTTAGACAAACATTCCTAATAAATATTTTGATCAATCAAAATTGGGAACAGATAATGAATTTATTCACCATAGACATGTTCAAAGAAACAACAGTTTTCAAACATTCATTTATGCTCTAATATCCAAGATTTTTTATAGATACTGCCAAAACTCTGCACAATTTATTGCATCATGGTATAGGTGTTTTGTGTCTTTTATTTCCACCAGAACATCTCATCTGTTTTTATTTAATGGATAGTCCAAATTTTATCCAGCCAAGCAGCACTTTATTAAATTTGCTGTCCTGGTTGGACAATTACCATTGATTAAGTTTTCTGGGGCATAACAAGTCTATGAAGTGGCTTCCTTACTGTACCTGCAGTGTATTAATTAAGGTTTTCTGGGGTGTATAGGCCTTTGACTCCTTAACTTGCTCAAGATAGCTTTCTTTTTCCATGACATCTTATTCATCTCTAGTTATATAACTATTGAACAATTCTTTATTGAATTTTGTTCTTCACCTGCTGATTGAGTTCTCTGAGGGGTATGGGTTCATGGAGTTCCTTTCTGCAGGTGCTGTCAGATAATTTCTCGGGGGTTTTTTCTGACACTCAGCCAACACAGATCTAAATCAAAGCCAGCTAAAATCACAGTCAAACATTCCTTAACTAATTAAGCATAGTTCATGACAAAATTTTTTAAAACTCATAAAACTCCTGTCTAAGATATAACTTGCTGTCAATATGGGTATGTATACAGAACTGGAGTCCCACTTCAGATGTGCTTTGGCAAATAAGAAATAGTTTGGAAGGATTTTGTATTTGTTTGGGATTTTTTAAATATAAACTTTATTTATAATGCCCTCTGGTTTGATTTTTCTATTTTATTTGCTGCTGTGCAACAGGTGGTCCATTTTACAACTCGTTGTGGAATTAATGTTAACAACACTATCTCAGCTCCACTCAATTGGCATCCTATGATAAATTTGCCATGGATTTTCTGGACTTTGCTAGGATGCTCTTGCCAGACCAGTGTGTGAATGTTTTTGGATTGTTTTGTTTTAATCTGTTCTTTTTGGAACTGAATCTGTATTCTTTTCAAGAGCAGCCAGTTCTGCACTGCCTTCTCCTTCAAAAGTTTGACTTATCATTCAGGCAAATACTGTATTTATATTATAGATTTGTAAATACTGCTTGTTTAATCATAAGATAAATTTGTTTGCCTTGCTTCTGTTTGAGAAACAATTAGGTTACTTATGTTCTTTTTGCTACTATATTAAGTAGAAAGATGCAGCAAGAACTGAAAAAATAAAACCTATTTAAACATGATTATTTTTACTAAATTTGAGTTGCTTTTCATTAAACATGCCATATTTCTGGTCAGTGTAAATTCCTTAAATAGACTGTGCTAATCCCACTTTTATCTTTATAAGTCAAGTAATTTATATTATAATTTCCTCATTTTCTTTTTTTATTTTCCTGTTAACAGTATAATTTACCCTCAGAATAAGAAAGGAGAACCGGAATATAATCCATGTGGTAAATACATGGTGAAGCTTCATATCAATGGTGTTCCTAGAAAGGTAAATCTTTTGGGAGAACTTACTGATGTTACTGCAAAAGTCAAAAAGTGTTTTAAAGGCTTGATCAGCTTCACTATGAAGTGCTTGCATAGCAAAAACTTTAGGCAGGTGTTTTTGGAAAGTAGTTTTTAATTGTTAAACCTTTTTGAGATTCATTTTTGGTTTTGAAGTATGCAGCCACATATTTCTTCTGTCTGTACTTCTATAAACATTAATAGAAACAGCCTTACATTAAATTAATGTAAAAAAATGCCTTATATTACTTAACAGAATTGTGAAAACCAAATAGGAACAAAGCTATGTATCCCCTATTTATGAATTAGGTGTGCATTCTTCCACTCCATCTTAGAAAGAATTAAAAATTATAGAGGGGGATATCAGGAAGAGTATAGATATGAAATTACCACAGTGGATTAACTTGACTGATAATTCAAGCAAGGCCTTGCTCAACTACAGATTTTTGGTAAGAAGAGGAAATGCCTGAAGATAAAACTTTGCAAACTCACAAACAACTTCATTTTCTTGGCAGTGCAATAAATAAGAACATAAAATAATGTATTTCTTCATATCATACTTAACTGTAGCACAGATCATAGTGACTGATGAATGCTTACGAGAGGTCAGAAGTTGAGTGGTCATATTCACAGGGTGGGGAAGTAGGGAGAACTCCTCAAAGATCTTAATTGTTAAAATATAACCTGTGGGTCAGAAAGTCCTTGAGCTGCAAAATTCCAGAATCTGAATGTTCCAGGAAAGTATAATTTTTATGTCTGTCTTGCTCTTAATATTCTTTCCAAAATATCTCCTAAGGGCTGCCTTTTGTTAGGATGAATGGCCATTTTTCTCCTATGAAAAGGTCTATTCATTCCTGCACAGATAGGATTTGACCAGAGAATGGGCTGTGTCGGTACCCTGTATTTGTAATGGACCAGTGCCAACAGGAAACTGAAACATCTATTCACAGAAACTGCTTCAGATTACTGCAAATATGCAGTCAGAATCTGTAGTGATGATGAATATATAGTACCTAATTTAAAGAAGAAATGTTAATGCTGTCAGAGCTGCTGCTTTGAGGTGTTCTTCCTTTTCAGAGAGAAGAAACTTAAATCTGGAACTAGAGGCTATGAAAGTGATATGACACAAATTATTTCCTTAAAGATAAATAAATATTTATTTCTCTGCTGGCTACCAAGCATCGTCCATGCTCTGATTCCTAATTAGATGAGGAATATTGTTAGGCTTTTCTTTACTTTTTGTGCTTGAAATTGCATGGAAACTTTCTGCAAGTGCCTTTTGCAGTAGCTGTTGCTCACTTTATATGAGTATACTGTCACCATCAGTCAAGGCAGCCCCTCACATGTCACCCAGTTAGACCTGTGCAATCAAGAGCTGGCAGTGGAATTTCTTGTTCACTTGGGCAAACCACTGCAAGGTTAATAGAGGTGTCCAAATGTGAGAATAATGGTCAGGTGTGGCTGTGTCTGAAAAGCTTTGTATTAATGAGGATTTTGTTTGATTTTCTGATTACTTTCAAAATACTTTATTCATAATACTTCATTCCTTTCACACAGGTAATCATAGATGACCAGCTACCTGTTGATCATAGTGGGGAACTTCTCTGCTCTTATTCCAATAATAAGAATGAATTATGGGTGTCACTAATAGAAAAAGCTTACATGAAGGTCATGGGAGGATATGATTTTCCTGGATCAAATTCTGTAAGTATGAGATTATTTCTGAGAGGAAAAAAATCCACTTAAATAATAATGGGTAAAATAATTTCATTCTAGGAAATCAAAGTGAACAGCTTAGGGAGACAAGTATTTGGTATGACATTTTCTTAATTTTTTTTTCTGTTTCTTTCTTTCACAATTATTTTTAGCTGTACTTAATGGAATTATTCCATCAAAATAGAACGAGCAAGACATCTTGATGGTCAGAGTTAATCTTAGTTCTCAGATTTCAGTATTGATGCTTGTGGGTAGGAAGTGTTTATATAGAATCTAGGTGAACCTGTTGGGTGAAGTCAAGTTCTGTTTGCCCATATCAATACTGCTGATTTTGGTTTCTAACTCTTTCAATAAATAGGGCAGTTCTCCCTCATTAGGTAATGGAGTCAGCTAGGAAAGGAACAGTCTAGACATTTAGAAGGTCTGTATAGAGGGAGCAAGTGCTTTGATCTGTGCAAGTTTGTTTATCAGATTGTTCCACTCATCTCCATAAATATGCATTGGGTTTCTATAATGTGGGTACTAAAGAAACAGTCAACCTACATCATACAAGTGACATGCAGGTTATTCTTTGAAGAGGAATGGTTTGCTGAAATGAGTAGCCCATATAATTTATTACTTAGGAAGCCTTTGTGATTTAAACTTTATATTACTAAAATTTTAAATATTTTTTTCATGGTGCTAATTGGTGTCTTGACAATCACATTCTTGGTGGTTTTACTTAGTAATCATCACCTCTTGAAAAATTGTTATGGAGACAAATGTGGCTTTGTGTAAGGGGTCAATGTAGCACATATTTTTAAGTGTCAGGACACTTAAAAATATTTGTTTTGAAGGACAAAAGCTGGTGAGAGTAACGATGTTTAATTCCCATTGTCATCCTCTAACTTGCAATCTGGAAAAACAGCTTGACTGGTGGCATTTAAACTCCACCCTTCCTGCCCTCTCCACTTTCCACTGTATTCCAGCTTCCTTCTGTAATCAGAGTTACTTACAATCAGACTGAGTTGTATTTGTAATTCCTCAAGTTTCCAGCCCCCAGTGCTGGTTATTGACGCTTCAAGCATTTACAGTTTCTGCTTTTGCTTTGAGGAGTACAAAGCAAAAGAATAAGAATTAAGCAATATTTCAAGGAGTTGGGAGATTAAAGCATCTTTTTATGGAAATACATATCAGTGTCAGCTTTACCAAAAAGAATAAAAAAACCCAAACTCTGAGCTTTAGAAATAAAACATAAATTATTTAAAATGCATATATAATAGGAAGGTACCAAATAGTGCTTCTGAGATATGCTTTAAAAGTCTGTAAATCAATGAAATAAATAGAACACATCACACAGTTGAGCATGACTGATGATTCTGATATGCCTCAATTGCTCTGGAATTCCAGTTTATTTCATCAGTTCACTTTCCAGCTTTTTTTTTTAAGATACTTGGAAACATTGTCCTTGTCTAATCAAAGAGTTTTTTGTTTGTTAGTCTTGATCTTGACCCTTTTATGTGTAGAGCTGTATTGTAACTTATGTATACTTGATTTCTTTCAAGGTGTTTTATAAGTTGTGTACAGACATCATATGTTTATATATGGATTATCTGTTCTGATTTCCTTTGAATACTTGCATTTCAGAATATTGATCTCCATGCACTGACAGGTTGGATACCTGAAAGAATTGCAATGCACTCTGACAATCAAGCCTTCAATAAAGACAGCACTTTCAGAATGCTTTATCAGAGGTAGACATTTGTTCTTTCCTAAGTAATTAAAATTCTTGCTGTGTAGTAGTTGTGTTACCACTGTAAGAGCAGTAGTCACCACAGATGCTTCAACAGCAAACTGTGCTTTATAAAACCTCCATGTGCTTTCTGGAAGAAGAAAAATGAGGTGTTGGTGGCTTTGTTAAAACAGAAGATTAAAATACTGGGGAATTTTGTGTTGGAATTCTTCTTCTCTATGTATGAATAAAAAAAATAACTCTTTTGTTAATAAAGAAAACAGAATATAAAGTCAAAGAAGAGCAGTTTGGAGCCAATATACCAGTTATATTATAACTGGTACTAGTATAATATATACCAGTTAAGCGTTTAAAAAGAAGGAGGAAATGTGTTCTGTGTTTCCACACAGTTCCCCAGAACTATATTGTATCTGCTGTCCTTGGCAAGCAGATATAATGCAGTGTTTCTAATTGTATCACAAGGTTATGCCCCATCAGTAAATCTCCTGGAGGAGCAGCAAAAGTCTCTCAAAACTGCAATACTGGTTTTCAGACCTACCACAGCAGTTGTATGTGCTGGTGTTAAGGGTACAAAGTAAATTATTATTTTATTTTGCTTATGGTGAAAGATACAGCTGTAAATTAAAAATGCCAGGTATACCAAGTACTTTGATTTCTTTCCAAATGGTTTTGTGCAGCCAGTGTCTTATGTATTTCAGTGCAGTAGAAGGGGATTATTCTGTTGACTGAAACATCTGCAACCACAATAAAAGAGTCTTTCTGCAGAATTTTTTCAGTTGCTTAGGAGCTCTCAGAGCTGTCAGCAATTTTTCAGATGTTTTGGTGTTGTAATTTGAAGGTATGACTAAAGTTAGGATGGGATCTAGCCATTGGAATATTGCTGTTGTTCACCTGGAAATGTGTTGATCCTGCAGTCCAGTGATCCTGTAATCTGTCTAGGGACACTGAGTATGAACTTGGATTTTTAGCATAGGTTGGAAACATGTTAGTGTGTTTTCACAACAGTAATTCTTCCAAAATTAACAATTGCTATTCAGAACACTAAACTTGAGTATAAACACCTACAAAAGTATAGAAGCATGAACTTCTTTTTCAGAATCCTGGGGGTATGGCAGACTTAATAATTTGCTATATGCAGTCATTGACTGAGTGGTGATGAAAACACATTTGTGCTCAGCTGTGGATTTGTGAAGAGTATCTTAAAAGTGACACAAGCTGAGCTTCAGGTTGATAAATGCTGAATTTTGTTTATGAAAATATGAAATTACATTTTTAAAATAATTTTTAATTTTAACTGTATACTTAATTGTGGAAGAAAAATAGTTCCACTTTCTCAAAATTTCTTCAGAAGTGATTTCTGTTGACAAAAACCCCTCTATCCCAGTTTTATAAAACAGGGTCACACTAATGGGCAGTGTACAAACATGCTATTGTGGTGTCTGGCAAATGTTAGATTGCAACTTGTGGGATTTAATTAAGCTATTTAAGGTATTTTTTCACCTCTTTTTGAACAGATTTCACAAGGGAGATGTCCTTATCACAACAGCAACAGGGGTGATGTCTGAAGAGGAAGGAGAAAAGTGGGGTTTAGTTCCAACCCATGCATATGCAGTCTTGGATATAAGAGAATATAAGGTATCAAATGAAGCTGGAGGTGTTTTCAAACTCCTGTTTGAAACCTACATGTGCTGCTAGGTTTACCCTAGATGGGTAGCTACTGGTTTTTTTGCTCTAATGGCTAATACATTGTATTTTGTCTTGGACTTGGACTCTACTGGGAAATTTCAGAAAATGTAATCATTCTGTGTTTTCATGATCCATATAAAAGCACTTTCAATATGTAGAAATTACCATGACAAGCTGAATTGACAATTTTACGTTGTGTTTTTATTAGGGACTTCGATTTCTTCAGCTAAAAAATCCCTGGAGCCACTTACGTTGGAAGGGACGATACAGTGAAAATGACACACGAAACTGGACCCCAGACTTACAAAAATACTTGAACTTTGATCCCAGAACAGCTCAGAAAATAGACAATGGTAATAAGGTTTTAAAAGTCATTATCTTTTCAAATAGTACAGATCTTTGTGGTGAATCCCTGCAGGAAGGGAATGCTTAAGCACAAGGAGAGTAAAACAAATACTAGAAACTAAACAGTCCAAAATTTTAGGAAGTATTTGTGTATTTAAATCTGTCATTTCAGGTTTGTCTGGGGTTTGAGTAATCTAGACTGTTAAATATGTATCTCAAATTAATTGACAAGAAAGTACCTCCTTGGTTAAGTGTGCTGTGTCCGTATGTGGGAGTTCAGTGCAAAGAGAACATTCTGACAATAAGCTGTGTAATGCTGCTTTTTGATATGTGAATGGACTTTCTGGGGGGTATTTTCCTTTCTAATGTTTTCAAATATGTATCAACATGCTTACTCTAATCAGCATTTCAGTCAATCTTTCTTGTGCATCAGCTGCATTTTACTTTCAGAAAGATGTTTCTGCTTTTTGCTGTGTCCTAGTTACTGCCTGCAAATCTCTGATGGAGCCCCTTTGTTCAATGTCACTGTTTTACAACACTATGCCCCCAAATCCATTAGATTAGAGCATTTATTGATAAGCCTTGTGCAAATGCCTGATGAAAACTTGTGATTCAAACATAAAAATAGCAGTCCTGGATTTGTGACAGTTATGAGATAATAGTTTATTATTTATTTACCAATTCATTTAGTAAGTAATTTGTAGCATCTGGTTGTTAAAATTTTATACGTAATTACCTTAGTAATTCTAATGGAGTTATTTCTTCTAATTGGATTTACACTTTGGCCTTCTTGGTTTTGTGTAGTTATTATTACTGGTTTTTAGTGCTGCAAGATCTGCAACTGCCCCTGTCAGAGACATGATTTATAAGGCTGCTACCATTTTAAAAGTTCATTCCACTAGGAGTTTGTTGTTTTGCAGGCACTGTTGCTGGCTAGAGTTGCAATTAAGGGAGCTATGGAGAACTAGAATAAATGCATGAGAATGTTGCAAAGATACAGCAAATTTAGGGTGCAAAAACCAGTGGCCTAGGTGTTGGATGAAGTGCCTTAGAAATACATTTGAAAATACTCACATGTTGGTTGAATACTTGATTGTGCTGGATGACTGCTGAAGTAGGTTGTTGAATTGCAGGAACCTGTTTGACTGTGTATTTTATTTTTTTGCTTTTAGAAGCCTAGGAAAGAGGAAATCAGGTCAGAATCACCTAATGATGTCTCTTTCAAAATAGCAGATTTTCTCATACCTTCTGCTTAGTGCTTGAGAATGGAAAAGCATTCTGACAGCTTCAGAAAGTCCCTGATAATAAGCAGAGACTAATTTGTTTTTTCTTGCTTTAACTTGGTTTGGGGGGCAAGTTTAAATTTTGCCATTTAGGCAGTGCAGACATTACTACTACATTTTGCAGAAATGTGTACTTATATAAGCTGTACCATTTGCTCAGAAAGAGACTTTTGAGAAACAAGTAAAATCAAGGTATCTGTAAAGAAAATAATAACAGCATTTCCTTTTCAGGCATTTTCTGGATTTCCTGGGAAGACCTGTGCCAGTACTATGATGTTATTTATTTGAGTTGGAACCCAAGTCTTTTCAAAGAATCTACATGTATTCACAGGTTGGTCCAAAAGATAAAATTTTTGTTTCAAAATCTCAGTAAGTGTTCTGTTGTGATGTTTCCTTCCTTCAATTCTTCCAGGTTATAGCTAGGGGCTTGAATTCCAGCCCTGTTCTTTTGAGCCTAACTTTACCCTTTCTCAGCCCAGGCTTTGTTTTTGATTAGTTCTGTAACATCAGTGGAGCTCAGTGACCCTTGTGATGTTTCTGTGGAACTACAGCTGTGTAACCAGATCCTGACCTCAGTCCCACATCTCCCTATCAGAATAAAAATCAGGTTTTTTGTGCAGTCTATCTCTAAGCAGTGCCCAGACAGTGCCTAAGTGACCTAGTTATTATTTGGAAATCATTTTTCTGGCCACTTGCAAATGTTGTCTTTACAGGGTGTGTTCACTGACATCAGGGTAGTTTAACCAGTTCTGGGTTTGAGCAGTTGTAGTTATCATAAATAATCTTCCTTGCCTGCTGATTTGTTTCCTGAGTCTGAGTGCCTCTTACCAAATACCCATTACATTCAGGGGTTTTCTCCCAGTTTGAGGATGTGTGTGTATATGTGTCTCCATTTTGGAAAGCAAGGGTTTCTGTACTTTTCCACTCCACTAGACTGCACTTTGCCACTGCTTCCACACTGTCCCTGCCTGTGTTAGCTCTGCACAAGCTCCTTCATCCACACTGTGACTGCTGAGCTTATCTGTAAAGGCTCCTTCCATCTTTGCACTCCAGTTATTTCTAAAATACACTGTGGTGATGCAGCAAGATGAGATAATGTGTCTGCTGTGTCAGAGCTCACCTACTGGTCTGTCTGTCCTTACATTATCAGTGATTGTCTTCCCTCTGTGTAGGGAAAAGCCTCAGCACAGTTGCAGTTGCCATAAAATGGAAAGTAACAATGGTGATAATTTGGAACTTTTTTAATGCAGCCTTCCACACATGCTGTTCAGTTTTACAAGTGTGAGAGGGACAAGGAGACTTAGGAATAGCTGTATACACTTCTGCTTCCAGTGTGCCACACTTTGTGTTCAGTCATCAGCGCTTTTTGGTTTTTCTCACTGTATTTTTCTTGTCTAGACACTTCACGAGGCAGCAGGCAAATTCTGCAGTAGGGCACCTCAAAGATCTTTAACACTTCCTGCAGGGCACCCTTACAAGCATGAAACAGGGCACATTTTAAAATAAAATTACACCAGGAAAAAAAGATAAAAAGGAGGAAAAAAATTTGGCAAGCTTTTGAAGCCAACCATAGCAGATGGATAGAGAGATGGATGGATGGATGGATGGATGGATGGATGGATAGATAGATAGATAGATAGATAGATGGATGGATGGATGTTAGATTTTTACAGTTACAAAAGTGTAGGTGTTTTTTCATTTAATATTGGTGTGTGCAATCATGGCTATGGTTGTGTAGCCCAGGCTGCTTGAATGGTTCAGCTTTTTCTGTGCTTTGTGTGGTTGCAGTCACCAGTCAGGCTGTTTGTATTTAGCATTTTTCATTATCATACATGTATTGTGATGAACTCATTTATAAACAAGGTTCTAAGACAATGCTTCTGATGTGACTGTGTTATGTAACCACTGCCATAGATTCCTGTAGAAAATTAGGCTTTGGTAATTTGTTACTGATAATATCACACTCTGCATATGTGTAGGATTCGTTTCAGAGCACAAATTAGTTTCTTACTGGTCTAATAAGGTGTGTGTGTCACTTTCAGCACGTGGGATGCAAAGCAGGGCCCGGTGAAGGACGCCTACAGCCTGGCCAACAACCCTCAGTACAAGCTGGAGGTGCAGTGTCCACAGGGTGGTGCTGCTGTCTGGGTCCTGCTCAGCAGGCACATCACTGACAAGGTGCTGGCTCTGCACTGCAAGCTCTGCCACAGCTTCTGTACATCTTTCTGTATGGCTTTCTCTTGTTATTTCTCTTATTATTTCATAGGCAGTATATTACTGCCTGTGTTCAGGTGTGTATGCCTGCGTACATGTGGAATGTTTTAATTCAGCAGGTACATGTACCTCCAATTGAAACAGAGTAAAATTGGAGCTAAGTGATTCTATTCCACTGTAAAGCTTCTGAAGTAACTTTGAATCCTGGAGCCTGAATAACTTAAATTAGTGGATGTTTGTTTACTTCAGGCATTTGAAAAAGAATTCTGTTGGGCATCCCAATAAATACAAGTATCACATCATACTATGTGCTGATCAAAAGGGATGGTAGAAGGTGTTCTTGACTCTGATTAAGCATTCATGATGTTTCACAGAATATCACAATTCTGATTTGTGTTTTTTTGGGTTTTTTTTAATAGGATGACTTTGCACACAATCGGGAATTCATTACAATGGTTGTGTACAAGACTGATGGCAAAAAAGTTTACTATCCAGGTTAGTGTGCCTTAATAAAGAAGCTGATGTTATAAATAAAATGAAGGACACAGAATTTTGTGGAGAGTAAAGGCCCTTTTTTCTTTAAAACTAGATGCCTCATTAAAAAGTCAGTCTTCTGAAATCATTGTTTTGCTCTGTTTGATCCTACTTAAAGTCTACAGTGAAGGAATAGGCCATTCTTAACATGCTGTAAGCATTCTCAAGAGGTCTGCATAGTCCTGCTGACATTTATTTTGATGCAACATTTTCTTTATTTTTTCTGGTTGTTTTTCAGTGCCAGTAGTTAATGTGTAGAGGGAACAGATGTTGTGTGTTAGTTTCTCTGATAGCATAATTATTTCCTATATTTGTGAAATTATTTAAAGGTCTACAGCTTCCACAGAATGAAAATAATCAGGGTTAATTGTCCCATGAACTTGGCTTAATACAATACCTAAGCAAGCTTATGAAATGTAGGTGAACACTTCAACATATTTCCAAGTATCAGGTATGGAATGTTAAAAATGTTCAAATTTTATCAAAATGTTACTCTTGGTCATCATATGTCAGATTCTTGTCACCTTGAGGAGAAGTGGTTTGCTGTAGCTGTGAAGTAGCCAAGTATGCTTTATTTCAGGAGAGATGGCAGATCTGAGACACAGGCTGAGACACAGGGTGTAAAGGTAATGCCCAGGTTGAATGGATAGGCTGAAACTTTAAGGTAGAGCTAGTAAGATCATCTTTTTATTTATTCTTTAAGTTAAAGATTGCTAGAAGTTAAGTTAGGGGTTGCTGTTAAGTTAAAGATTGCTAGAAATATTCCTTGGAATTATTCAGTGAAGGTGCATTCTAAAACAAGTGGGATTGGCCGGTTGCTTTTACAGATAGGAACCTCTTTAGAACCAGATTTGCATTCAGGTAGCTGCTCATGCAACAGCTCCCTCAGTAGATTTTAAAGCTTTTTTCACCAAAGAGTGGGATTTATGGGACTTTTTCTATTGGAATGGCTAATGAGCATTGCATAGTTTGCATCTGATCTTGTTCAGTGAACTCTGCTGACCAGTTCCCCCAGAATCCAAGCTTCCCTGAGAATCCAAGTCTTTCTGTGGAAAGGTCTCTTGACACCTGACATCATCTGGTTTTGCAAGAGCTCCTCTGTGAGGAGAAGTAAATGCCCAAGTTGCTTCTGGTGTTGCTGGTGGTTGGAGCAGTGCTTATTTTACACATGTCTCACTGAAAATGTCCTTAAGTGAGCAAACCCAAACACAAATGTATAGTAGAGGGAACTGTTCAGTTGTGCTTGAAGGAGACTGGCCTAACAAGACCAGTACCAAAAACTGAACAATTTGTATGTTTTGTCTTGCTGCACAAACTCTTAAAAACTTCTGATCTCACGAGCTCAAACTTGTTTAAAACCTTTTTCCATGGAAATAGATTGGTCAAGCTGCACTATTATTTTTAACCATCTGTTAAAGTGAGATGAGAACAAAGCAGTTTAATCCTTTGGCAGCAAGGCCGAGATTTCCCATTCCTAAGCTTCTTATTGTTTTATATTAATCCTTTCCCCTCTCCCATGTTGCTTTGTGGAAGAAAATAAAAGGACCTGATCCTGGGCCTATTGAAGTAATTGGCTAGACTTGATCCTGCTTCACTGAAATTAAAAGAAGTCTGGAAAGAACCAATTAGAGACCAAATAACAAATTACACTGTCTAATTATAAAAGCAAACATTTGGCATCTTTCTAAGTACCACATGTGCATTGGTGCTGGGATGCAGCTACATCTGTGTAATGATCACAGGGATTTGAAGAGAGAGGGACAGAAAGTGTGTGTGGTTTAGTTAAAGGAATTAACATGTTTTGGAGTATTGTTTACAGGGTGGCCCAAGTTCTGGCAGCTGGCATTCTGGAACTGTCCAGCCAATGGAGAAAGAGCAGACACTTCAGAGATTTTCAAAGAGTGCTTAAACATTCATTATCTTTCTCTTGAAATTTCAACATAATTACAGAAACTAAGTCTTCTTTGAGTAGTGGCATTGGTGGGAGATGGATAAGCAGTCCTTGCACGTCTTGGGATTTAAGCTGTACTTTCAAGCACAGAATTTGTGTCTTGTCATGTGTGATGTACCCCTCATGAAAACAGTAGCTGATGTTAAGACTGTCCTTTCTATATGTAAATCTTGAGGCTCTCATCTGTTCAGAGCACTCAGGTCTGTTCATTGTAACCTGAGAAGTTTGCCAAGCTGGGGGGTTTTTTGGTCAGGAAAAAATGTTCATCCTTTTCTTTTTCAGCTGATCCTCCTCCTTATATTGATGGTATTCGGATCAACAGTCCTCATTATCTGACCAAGATAAAGCTGACCTCTCCAGGATCCCATACATTCACCTTAGTGGTGTCCCAGTATGAGAAACAAAACACCATCCACTACACCATCAGGGTATGTGCTGTTGTTTCATAATGAATGTAAGCAGTTAAACTATAAAGTCTACTTTGTTTTTAAATTTGATAAAAAGGGTATTTCTAAATTAATATTACTGTCTTGGGGAAGGAAGCTGTGAGTGATGGAGCAGAACCACTGGATGGCGTGTTTGATAATGTTTTCCATTTGTAGTAACAAAATTTTAGTGACAAAATCAGCTGAAAAATACTCTTACTTTCTAGAATAAAAAAGTATCTATGTACAGGCAGATCATGGGCTTTCTATGTATCCAAATTAAGCCTATTTTAGATCCTGGTTAAGATTTAAAGGTTTTTGACTTCTCCAGGTCTTGACTTAGGATTTGGGTTTTTCTCTTAACTGCTGAGTCATACAATGATCAATGCTAGGATTTTTTTCACTGAAAAAAGACTAAAATGCATATTGTTTCCATTTTGCTTTCTTTGTTGGTTGGGTTTTTTTGTTGGGTTTTGTTTGTTTGTTTGGGGTTTTTTTGGGGGGGTAGGGGGCAGGGTTTTTAAGTAGAACTAAGTCTTAGTCCCAGCACTATTCTGAATTTTGAGTTTGACACAGGGTCATCTGGTTGGTAATACAGGCATGAAGTGAACAAGTATCTAAAAATGTTGTGTGGGCACTTCTGTTTTCTTTTAATTTTGTCATGATTTTGTTTGAAAGATGCAAATTAAATGTGTAACCTGCTGCTTCTTTTTACAATACAGGTGTATTCCGTGTGCAAGTTCACCTTTTCCAAGATTCCCACACCCTACACCATTTCCAAACGGGTAAAGAAACATTTTCTTTTATGCATCACTGGTTTGGCTTTTCCACATTTGAGATGTACAAGGTTTCAAAATATATTTTGATACTACTGCCCCACCTCCAGCACAGGGTGTGTTGTTGCAGCTGTGCCATTGCAGACATGCTGCAAAGCCTTTGTAGAACAGACTGGCCTTTGGAACAACAACCCATACCCTAATAAGCCATCACTCTGCAGAAATCAGGTTGTGTTAGTAATGGTGCAGAGTGAAAACTCCCCAGAAGTGTTGCTCATTTCCCCTTGGGAGAATTGCATGATTTTCTTGGAAAAACTCTTGGCATGATGGGACAAAATCAGCAATGCCAAACCAAAGGCACCAGTAGCAAGAGCATAAGAAACAAACTTAGGATTGCAATATCACAGCACGTTACCTGTTCCTAAATTTTTCAAAGATACCTCTAGGGTCTATAACAATTGGAATAAGCACTCCTGTTGCCAGACAGGATCAAGGAAGTATATCCATTGTACATTTCCTGAGAAAGTAAATCCACTGTACACTCACTCCCTGAGAGTATAGGAACAGGGGGGAGAGTGAAAAACTTTACTGAAACCAGGTCAGAAGCTCAGGCAGTTTTGGGGCCAGCTGCTCTTCATATTTCAGCTGTCAATATGAGCTGCAGTTTCACCTTCAGCTGAAGTATAAATCCAAGAGCTCACAGGATAAGGTAACTTGCATGTATTTTCATGTTTTAGCAGTTTTATGCTCAGGAAAGAATAAACCAGTAGCTTTACCTCTGTACCTACCATGCATTCCCTGGGGAATCCTATTGTAGTCAGAAGTCTTGTGTGCAAACAGTCACTTGTTCAGGAAGAGAGAAACAAGGGAGTTTGGAACAGTCCCTTTGCTAGCACACTCGTGCCTGAAGCAGGACTGCATTACTCTGTGTGCTCAGGGGGACATGCTGGCTTGCAGCTTGGCTCTCGAGTTCAGACAATGTTCCATACCAGCTGGTATTTTTGGAACAGTCCCTTGAAACCTGTTCTAGAGAATGGTGAGTGAACAGAGATTCCTGGGAACAGCAAGATGGTTTGTTTGGTTCTTCCAGAAACCATTGTCGTATAGAGCTATTAAAAACTGGGCTTACTTTGAGGAAGTGTTTTAAGAGGTCAAAAATATTCAAGGTGAAAAGCCTGCTTGAGGAGGGACATCCATTTTATGTTGTAATACGTTTGAAAAGAGAATTAAGTATGTTGAAAACTCCTGTTGATTATTTGAACATGTCTGTCTAGTATTCAAAAAAAAAAAAAGGTATCTTCTATCTATCCAATGCCAGTTCTGTCTTTAGGATTGAATACAAAAAGTTAGTTACCTGTATTTAATGCCTGTTTGGTGATTGCTTAGCAGTCATCACACTCAAAAGCAAGCAGAGAACTAAATGACAGTTTAGCAGTAAAAACAAGTTCTCTTAGATGTCCTATACTGGAGTCAAGTGGTCACCTCTGGAGCTCACCAATCCCTGATGTGATGCCTGGAATTAAGTGCAGCAGAAGTGGGAAAGGGCTAGAAAGCTCAGCAGCACACAGCAGTTTTAGGTTCCTGGGTAGTAGCATGGTAGGAAGAGAAATTCCCCTTGCTTCTCTACTTACCAGGTTAGAGGGGTTTGGGCACTGAGTGAGAAATTAAATCAAAAGGGAAAATGCTGCCCCTTGCTGCTTTGACAGAGACAGGAGAGAAGTAACAGGAGAGATGGATCTCAGCTATAAATCTGTGGGAATGCCTGGCATGCCTTACGAGTCTAACCTTTCAGTTTGATGACTAGCAAGAGGAACTTTTAAGCAGATGGGCTGCTTCTCAAAGTCTGAACAGCATTTTTCCCCTTGAGTGTCTTTATCCTTGCAGAATCTGTCCTTGTGGTTATCTTGTCATTGCAGTGCTGGCTCTCAGAGTGCACAGAGGTGATGGACAGGGCTGGAGGCAGAGATCTTTAAAAGCAAAGTTACAACACTGTTGGTGTTGTACTCCCTGTATTGCTGCTGTTTCTCATTTAATCCAACAGGGGAGTGTCTGAGGACAAAAAAGATAACCTGTGTAGTCTAGTAGGCATGGGATAGATGGGAATGTGGGTGCTCTGTTAGCTGCAGTTTGTCACAGTCAGAAACAGTCACTCAGAGCTTGTTTAATATAAGCTGGAAAAATACAGTACAGGGAGGGAATGTAAGGCTTTGAGGGCGAGCTTCACAAGACTTTGTGAATGCCTAACACTATCTGGCACTTCACTTTGAAAATTAGGATAGGTCACTAAAGTCAGTAACTTCCGAAGTGAGAGGACCCTCTAGTCTTGTTTTTGTGTATATATAAGCAATAGAAATCCTCAGGATCTGTTTTCTGTACTTTTGACTTCTTTCAGGTTAATGGACAGTGGAAAGGTCACAGTGCTGGAGGGTGTGGAAACTTCAGAGACACCTACAAAAATAACCCCATTTATCAATTCCAGCTAGACAAGAATGGACCATTGCTAATTGAACTACGGGGACCAAGGTTTGTAGAAAATAATTGTGCATCAATACAGTGAAAGCATTGCATGCCAAAGATAAAGCTTTGTCACTATCCCCTTGGAGAGGTGGAAGCTCATGGAAAATCCAGAAAACAAGGTGTGGGAGTTGACTCAGAGTTTGTACTATTTGTTTCTATCTTTAGCATCAATAGTGTTTTAAATCTATACATTAACTACTGAGGGAAATCCTTGACCTATAAGGAAAGCAGCAGCCTTCCTTTCTCTTCATGTTTTGGGGTCTGAGGAGAGCTAGGGAAGAAGGTATACAGGATTTCTTCTTAAAACTAATTATGATCATAATTTCTTTTATTTTGTAGTAGAGCTAATATGCAAGATACTAAACCCTTAGGGCTCTCAAACACCTCTGAAAGTGCATTTATTCTGCTACTAGCAGGCCAGAAGTGCTGGATATCAATGTCCCATAAAGTAGACTTAGGCAGGCCAAATTCCTTTGGCACAATTAATGATTACCTCAAAACACCAGTTTTCAGTACTTCTGAATAGCAACATCTCCTGACCTACAGTCAACTGTTTATCCTTTGCAAAGCTGCACAGTGAGCCCTACAATGTGACAGAACTTTTCTATCTCTCCTCTCCTCTTTGAGGAAACTCCTTCTCTCATGAAATGAAGATGAAGGCAGAGGTGTGGCTGCACAGTTCCATGAATTGAGCCGTTCTTTGTTTGCATTTTTTCCTGCACTTGAACATCATATTTGGGTAGTTTGAAGGACAGAGGCAATGGTGCCTGTCACATGCATTAACAGGAGCAGACAAAGTGTCCCAAGTTGTTTTGCAACATGAGAAGTTCTGCTGAGATCACTGACACTGAGTCCTCCCATAAGCAACCTGATCACACCCCAGGATCTGTGCCATGTGGCACAGGAGTGTGTCACAAGCTTAACTGCTTGAATTCTGCCTGAGTGCACAGGCAGCTTCTAGCAGGCATTTTCTTTGCAGTCCAGTTCTAAACCTGAACTGAGTTTTGTCTTCCTCCAAATACTGCATTCATGTCATGGTAAATTTGACTTTACATTTTGCCACAAATGTGGTAAAACTTCTAGGTGTCTTTCAGTTATCCTGTATAGTTTTTAATAACTAAGTCCTCTTCATGATAATCCTGATGAGCCAAGCATCTAAAGCAAGTCTGCCATGTCACTTGCAGGCAATACAGCGTTGGTTTTGAACTGGTCACCGTCTCAACAGTGGGAGATCCTGGTTCCTATGGCTTTCAGAAAAAAAGCAGTGGTGACTACAGGTAACACTTAATGACATCTGTACAGAGGTTTGAAACATACTTTAGATCTCATTCCTAACAGGTAGTTTTCTTTATCATAGGTGTGGATTTTGCTACTTGGAGGTGGAGAACACTTTTGCTGGAGTTTACAACATTATCCCCACCACATTCCTGCCTCAACAAGAGGGGCCCTTTTTCTTAGATTTTAACAGTACTACTCCTCTTAAGGTGTCACAGCTGCAGTGAGGAGACAGAACTGTGCAGTGCTGTTTAAGGAGATGGTTTTGACCTGTCCTACAGTCTGAGAACAGGTGAAGAATCCTTATTACACCTGCACAAAAGAGAATTACATCCTGAGTTACAGCCAAAAGCATGGAATGACAGATTGCCAGGTAATTGTGGCAGGCAGTTAGCTGTGGATTTGCTGCCATGGTCCAGGAGTGAGCACTGTTCAACAGGCTTGGGAATAGGCTAAAATGCATATATTCAAATGAACCAGCAGAAGAACTCACTTTATTGCAGTTTTTCCACACTTTGATTCAAAGTCTAGTGAGTTACAAGAAAAACTAATATTGAAATTCCCTCCTCCCCACATACAGGGTATATGGGCTAAAGATTCTATTCTTAAAAGTAAACATATAAGAAAAAAATATTCTTGTGTATTCTGCTTATTCAGTCTCAGGACCAAATAGCTTTTATTACATATTTGTGCTGCTATCTATGTTTTCAGCACTGAACTGGTTCTCCCATCTAAATGTAAATGTACTACTGCTGAGCCAGCAGTATTCCATGTGTCATCTTCTCTGGAATATGTATACAGGAGTACAGGAAAAGGAAGATTCCAGCTTTAGCTATTTCTAAAAGCAAAGCAATTGCTTTGCTCATGTTATGTGTACCTTGAGAGCTGTTATTTCATATCTGTATGACTTTAGTACATAATACAGCAGGAGGTTCTGGGGCTTTCTTCCTGCCATCTGCCAGAGCTAGGTTGATCCTGATGAGCAGGAAGGAGAGGAGGTTATCCAGCATAGTGACCAGGCAGTGCAGCACAGCCCAGCCTTCCCTGAGCAGCTGTGAAAGGTTTTCATCTGAAGATCCCCTCTAAGATTCACTGTATCTGCTGAGGGTACTCTCAGTCGCTGGTGCAGGGGGATGGGGAACTGCCCACCATCAGCAACTCAGCAAATATTTCATTTTCCTCACTTTTGTGAGTAGGTGTCCTGTAGGGAAGGATCATTTAAACCTTTCTCCCAAGACACCACAGCTGCAAGGAATGCACTTGCTGATTCCATTATGCAAGACCTCTTCGAAAAGATACTTTTTCCCTTTTAAGTTGAAACCAGTGAAGGAATTGAGCACAGGGCCAGTGTCATCAATAGAAGCAGGGTCAGAGTTCTTAAGAAAATAGTGGAGGTGGGATTAATGCAGAACAAGTTATTTTATTAGAAGACCCCTCACCATGTGTTCTTCCTCTAGATCTGTGCACATTTTATCTGAAGAGGATTCAAGATGAGAAGTTATTATTTAATACCAACTGCCTCACAGGTCCTGAAATGGATTAAATTTTGTCATTTTTACAAAATTTACAATATTTCACAATGGGGAGAGAGGGTATTTTTAAAAACAGCCATGGGAATTTTGCTGCCATTCACACTGGTTTGGCAGTTTTCCAAGCAAAAAGGTGGAATTTAAATCTTGCTTTAGGTTACAGGTGTCACTTGGCCATTGGGAAACTGAACACATATTCTACAGTAGCACCAGAAATAGCTGTGGGCTAAAATTATTCCCACAGAAATCTGCTATTAGTCCTCTCCAGAACGTAAAAGAACCTTTTGTTTCATCTCCTTCATCAGACAGCTGCTTAACAAGTGACTGGCACTGAAAGGGCAGGGATAGCTCCTGCCTTGGAGAACACTTGCCTTGCCGACTGCAGTTCTCTCAGAGGCCATCTGGGCTGGGGAATTTGTGACAAGTCTGTCACAGAGTGACTTACCTTCTTTTGCAGGGAAGTTTCTGATGGTTATTGCAATAAATCAACAGAAGGAACAGCATAAGCACAAGCTGAGAATAAAGCAGATTAAGTTCTTTGTGGTTATGCTTGGCTTTTGGAGTATGTGCCAAGGACTGCTCCACCCCTAGAATATGAAAGTTTCATTCAACTCCCATTTTCCCTACAGGTTTTTAAGTTTTTTATCTGAGGCTAAACCAGAGTAGCAGTGAGGTCCTCCATGTATCTCATCACCTCTAGAGTTGGAGGCAGTGAGGAAGTCTCAGCTGAGCATCTTTTTTTTGGCAGTATGAAAGGCAGATGCCAGAAGTGCCAGCTTTCAGCACCAAGTTCTTGCACAGTCTCTGCTGTTTGAGATCAAGCTGGTAGACTTGCCTACAGGAAAATCTGTTGTTGTTCTTCAGTAGTTCGTTTCTATCCGGCAGGAAGGAGTTTTTCTTTCTCTTTCCCCTGAGCACAAGTTGGTGCCAAAGCTTATGCTGCATGAAATGAGAGCATAAGGCTCAGCTTCCGTACTGTGCACAACTTAAACTGAACTGTACTGAAAAGTAAGAAATGCACCCACTTTCCTAATGCCAGGCAAAGACATTAAGGCCAAAGGATCCTGTCCCCACCAGGATATGCCAATATTTCTTACATATTTGGAATAGTCAGTGGATTGGGCTCATCCCCATTAATGCACAGGACTTAAGTTTAGTGTCAATCTTATCTATATAAAGCAAAGTCTGTTCAAATATTGCACCTGCATAGGGTACTAGAATGCCATCACTGTGCACTTCCCTTCAGATATAGGACAGAACACTCAGGTGAAGTATTTAAGAGGTACTACAAAATATCCATAGAAATTGCAGCCTAGGGATTCTGGTTATGGCAAATTAATTTTACAATAAAATTTTCTTGCCCCTTTTTCTTAAGAAAAAACATTGATGTAAGCATTTAGGATTTGCTTTAGTGTTTTCTGTCAAATATATACTTTTATGTATTTTCCACAAGTAAGTCTGGAAAAATTATTGCAAAGTGAACTGATCCTTAGATTTTAACATGACCTCAGGCCACTAAGTTAAGCTTTTCTTTCCCCTGTACTGTTTAGCATTTTTTGAGCCATATGACAGAGAATATAGTTTGTTCTGTTTGTTTTGATCTTGGTTGATCCAATCCCTCAGTTCCCAAAGATTCAGTGAGACACAGACCATGGATGAATGGTATCAACAGCTTCCATCCCACTGCCCCACACTGTGAGTCTGAGCTCAGTTCTGGTCTCCTGCTGCAAGCTTCATGTAACTATTTTGTACAGTAATCATTCATTTAACCACACAGTCTCTGCAGCCTTTGAACAGCCACCTATTTAGAGCTAAGTTTGTGTGTACTTACAGTAGAGGTTTTCATTGTTTCATCTAAAAGGACACTGAAATTGTTTGATAATACCAAAGAGAAGTAGAACTCCTAGGTTAACATTTGCTTTATACATTCTCACATCAGGGCAGATGAAGCAATCATGTATACTTTGATACACCAGAGGCTTATTTTTATACCCATGAAGGCAGCTACCATCATGTTACCCTTCAGAATCCATGAAGAGCTTAAGTAAAAAGTAACTGGAGAAAGCTTGTTCATTTGCTTGTACTCCATAGCAATGTATGTTCATTTAAGTCTGTCATATTTATAATTATGGCTTTTATGAAGTTTAAAATAAAATGAGTTTTCCATTAATTTATTAGACACACAGTTGTGCCTGTTTGCTTGCACCTTTGAAGGGTGATTTACCTGCCAAGTCTGGGGCTCACCAAGGAGAAAGGCTGCACCAAGATCTTTCACCAACTCTTGCAGCAGGGTGATAGAACAGGAAGGGCAGAGGGGGTTCCACACTCTTTCAAACTTCCAGATCAATGGCTTTACCCAGCTGGGAGCTGAACCCAATCAGGACATAGGCAAGGCAGCACATACACAAAATTAATTCATTGTGCCCAAGTGTGGGAAGCTTGGGTTTCCAGTCCAAACTAGCAAGACAAGGAGAAATTTGATAACAAGAGAGGTTAAAAAATAAAATTAAAAAAAAAAAAAATCACCATCAAAACAACCATTCAAAGAACCCAGGAAAATGTAACAGGTGTTGACTGGGAGGTCTGCAAAAGTGAGATTCAACCACAACGACCTCTGCTAGTTTTCTAACTGAATGGAGCACAGACAACAGCTCAGCTATGACAGTTTAAGTAAAAACACTTAATACAATGTGGCACTCCTGTACTGCTTTTCATATTAAATACTGTCTATCCCAGCTTTTTACTAAGTAATGATCACATCAGAAGTTGGAACCAGACTTCTTTCCTAAGCATTTTTTGTGCTTGGAACTGCTGGCAGTGAAAGATTTCAGCCTTAAGGTCTTCAAAAGATGTAAACATATAAATGTCTAACAGCTGTAATGTGAGGAATCTATTTTTCTATGAAAACAGGATTCTTTGCCTCCAATTCTGCATGGCTTTACAGCCAATTTTAGCAGCATTAAGTACAGAGATCTTATGTAACAGAATACTTCCCTCCTCCTGCACTAAGGAGGTTTTGGAGAGCCTGACTGCAGCTCTGGTCTTGTGGCACAGTTCAGAATAAAATGTGAGCCACGTATGCAGGGATTTGGGAAGCTGGAAAGAGGCACCAATTGCCCACGTACCTCAATGGATTCTAATGCCAGTGTGACCTCAGCCTGCAGTCTTCAGCTGGAAGTGGACATTTGGAGGCTAAACTTGCTATGGGAGAAGACTGGTTCCTAGCACTTGAGATAAACTTCACTTGCACAGACTCAAAATGTGGAAAACAAAAATGTTTACTGTAGTGTGAAGAATTTTACATTAACTTTGAGAATAGATACACAAGCTGTGGCAGGGATGAAATACAACAGGACTGCAAAAACAGAATAGAAAATACTTTGGGCAATACTAAGATTCCCATCAAATCAACAATATAAACTGACATTTTAGAGAAAATGGTGCTTTCAGAAATGCTTAGTCACCAAAACTGAAGAGTCCTAGGATTTTTACTACCACTTATTAGCATAATTATCAGACACTACTACTGCCTAACAGCTGCTGGCAAAACATGCCCCGTGCCCTTCCTAGTTTTATTGAACACTTTGTCTAGGGCATACTAAAATCCCAAGTCCCTTGAACAGTTATAAACCCCCACACAGTACAACCTACAGAGAAGCTTAAGAACACATTGTCAATCTACACTGGCAATTCCTTTTCTTCATGCATATTTCAAGGGCAAACCCCTTATCATAATCATCCTGAAAACATCTATGACTCCCATTTTTGAGGGGAAAAAAACCAAAACCAAAAAACACTTAAAGTGCTGAAAAATAATTCTTCACTTCTCAGGGAAGCAGAAGGGCAAGGGGCCAACCAACTCTTTTTGGTCACTGGAATCACCTGCAGAGTCCAAGCCAGACTCAGGAAGGTGTCTAGAAAGGGCTTCCCACTGCTGGGCATTACCATCCCCTTCATGTCATCCATCTGTTTTATAGGCTTTTAGAGGCATGACTCATTTTATTTTCTGTGAGCACCAAGGGAAGAGTGAAGGCTTTCAGACCCCCCACATGCAACAGCTTTCCTGTATACAAAATATTTCTACAATTTCAGCATAATAAAGACCAATACAGATGTTTAAAGATTATGCCACTTGTACTCAAGAGACTGGTTGTATC